ATGGATACATACACATTGAGACGTACACACACACTGACATAAAAATATACATACCTCTGTGCGCGCGATATCCTGTTTGATGGAATCCAGCCTCATATCCTTGATGGGCGTATAGCACGCAATAGCCCATCGCTCTAACATTAGTCGGTACGCTGAAGGCAGATCGGGTAGGCTGTGGGCACACACCAAAACATACAGCAAATACAGACACTCGACGAAGGCCTCGTACTGTTCACTCTTGTACTCTAACTCATCCTTGATGTGCTCCATACGCGTGATTGGGCTGACCGCTGTGTAATGTGCGTTGTAGCGAGACTGTGCGTGAGCTAAGCGCCAAATAGTATGGGTATACACGTGTGGTAAGAGCAGTGTAGTATGGATTATACGTGTGTGGTAATTGCTGCGTAGTACGAATTATACATGTGTGGTAAGTACCTGGTAGTATGGATTAAACATGTGCTGTAAGTGTCGGATAGTATGGGTTCTACACGTGCGGCAAGAGCCGCGTAGTATGGATTGCACCGATATTCATGTGTGGCAAGCGTCGGTTAGTATGATTTAAACTGATACGTGTGTGGAAGAATGAATGGCCCAGGCATACATTGATAGGTTCATGAACAGCATATAGTTTTGAGTGCGACTAGCGACTGATTGGTCTGTGAAAACACACACCTGCGGGGCGTTCCTGGTCCGAAATACAGGCATAGGCATAGATGTATGCCATCACAGGTCTCGAGTTATCCAATGGCTGTGGCTTGGCCTGGGCACATTCGCGGAAGGTCTGTTCCAGAGTAGCGATACACCCAGGTAAAATGCGGATGAGGAGTGTGAGAGCCCTGTGGTGCATAGTAACCCAAGTTTTTTATAATTTAGTGATCATTGAAGGCGTACGGATCTATTACTAATCAGATCTACTGGCTTGGTAATCACAGATGCATTTTTATTAACGGGGTCGGGGGGCCAGGGATCTCGGAGTTGAATACTGAAGTCTACGATTGGCCATTACCTACTCTTACACTAAGCTTGTTCCGTTGCTCCGACTAGTACAGTATCGAACGAACACAGTCGCCATTAAACAACTCCAGTACCCGACATCTCATACCAGCGTAGAAGCTCACGTTGACACATCAAAGAACTGAACACAGACATCAACTGGCAAACATAGTAGCTTACGCGACAGGGCCATACAGCCGCCCGTCATGCAGGTGCATGTGCAAAGTATGATGAGTGTGTGGGTAAATTAGGTTATCAACAGGATATGCGTAGGATTCTCACCTGTTCTTTAACCGTTCGAGTGAGTCAGGCATCAGAAAGGTTCCCTGGACACCCAACCAGCCGCTGTAGGGAAAGAGGTGAGTGTGAGAAGACATATGTGGCTGCGTTGAGTTATACAGAGAACCTGATAGGAACGGGAACTTGCTGTTGTACCAGCAGCCTGAGTCACGCTACGAGTCAACAATCAAGCGTTCCCATTGGCTAATAAGAATGTATGCTATTGCCATCTTAAAATAAAATAAGATGATCCCTATTAATACCAAATAAAGTACAATGACGATGTGGAAATATGGCCTCGAAAATAATAGACATAAAATTCAAGAGGAAAAGGCTCAGGTCACATCGTACGCAGCATTTGGTTGATGATTTAGAACTCCGAAACGGCGATGGCCGGCAGTCGAAAGTTGCAGTTGTCGTTATTGTAAACCACTAAACCTTAAAACCCTACTCAGCTCCACTGGACGGTTTACATACGTATACAATCACATAAACAGGTATATAGGTGGACACATTTGTAGGTAGGATATATATATCCATGTTGAATCCTGATTCCAAAAGAAGGCATCCTCTAAGAAGTATGTGTATCGATATATTAGGACCGCTACTAATAGTCGCAGCGGGATGCCTAACAACCTCCCACACCCAACACGGTTGATATTCTAGTTGTTGAGAGCTCAGGTTTAGTGCTTGAACATGCAGTAGTAAGTACGAGTGCATTCAGGCACACGCACATACGTATGCTAAACTAAAATTAACAATCGAAGTGGCCTGACAAAATCCTGGAATCTATGTCCTTCAAAGTAACATACGAAGATCCTGCAAGTACATATGCAAAAGTGAATACTTAGGCATACAGACAACGAATGCACCAACAAACACAATCACAAGTATATACTCACAAAGCACAAAGAATGCAGGTGTTAAACCGCACATATTATCTCGCACACACAATCAGCATGGAGACAGGCACATAAAGGTAAACTTACGCACATACATATATATGTACATCCCGACAATATATACACGCTTGTAAGGTACGTACAGATATATGTACATACACATACACAGCGCAATATGTACACACACACACACACACACAGGGCCCCATGGGCAGGCCCGAATTCAAAAAAATTTGCTTAAATTTTACCTGCCGGTCTTCTCTTTTACAAAGTTAGTATTTCGAGCCGACTCAAAACTGGTGAACATTTTGCTCAGCTGCTCAAATGCACTGCCCAGTAGAATCGCATTGTGGGCCTCCGCGGCTATAGTGGAGCGTGAGAATATATAGGAAAACTGAGTTGCAACCAATGTATGTATCCAAAGTAAATATATATTTCGTATCAAGGCTTCCTGCCGAGATGCTATAGATTCCGAGACATTGCACCTGCGATGACGAGCACAGGCCACACGGCGTGCAAGAATATACGCACATCCTCATACACACATACATACACACACATATATGTGCACCAACAGGTCGAACGTGATCACACTTGTTTCTTCGTGGAGACTTACACACATTCAAGACATGTGTTTTTGCTGCGGAGACACACCCATACATACCTGAGCCTACACACATGTACACATACATGATTTCACACACGCACATATACCCACACAAATACCTGTGCATAGGTACAGGTCAAGCGATGATTTTCAGCGCAATAACCGCACGCCTGGTCGTTCAAGTATACGAGTCGAGCACCCATATCCACACACATGCGCGTGCGCAAAGGAGGCACGCGCGCACATGCTAAAACACACAAACACACGCCCACACGCCCACACACACAATTACCTGTGCGTAGGTAGAGATCGACGTATTTCTCTCGCCGCGAGAAGTGACCGCCTGGCCTGTCTATGAGAGTGCTCTTGGGTTCATCCAGAGGGCAGATCAGTGGATTGTCTTTGCGAACCTCGCCACTCTCCACCACGCGCCAAATCTGAGCCAAATAAGATGGCAGGCACCACGGGTTGTGGGGGTGTCTGACTGTGAGCATGTGCTTATAGGAATAGTGACGCAGGTGTACGTGTATGTTGGATAACTTCGTACTTCTCCATAACCCTAAACCCTAAAATCCTAAATCCTAAACCTTACCCTATCAGAAAGCTACAGGTGCACGACCCGATGCGAGGTTGTCTCACAGTGAGCAACCATTTAAATATATATGAGCCCTGGGGAAGGTCTACGTGCTTGATGCACGCCAGATCTGGGGCACATGAGGTGATATAAATAGAGATATCTGCATGTGAGCACGTCCCTATATGTGTATTGACCACGGGGTAGGTCTATGTGCATGTTGGAATATCTCTAGCTTATCCATACACTCTACACCAATGTATGAGGCCTATGAGGAGATACACTCGCTTGACCAAAAAAATTGCGAGCTGGCTGGGCACGTAGAACTTACACCATGAATTAAAAACTGTATGACTATGGTAATCTGCTTAGAAATAGATCATGATACATGTGACGATTGACTGGTATTTGTGCCACTAGAATGCACAAGACAGGTGCATATCGTACCTAGGATATATACGACTAATATCTTTATGTCTACGGGAGTCTACTGAGGAATACATGCATGTGTGTAAGCCGGTAGTTTCACTGACATGTAACATTCGAACGACTCTCATGCGCATGACAGGTACACACCGTTGTATCGCCCAGGAGAGTCTTGACACCCCACCGCTTCTTGTCCAACAACATGATCTTCTCCATCTTCTCTAAGGCCTTCTCCGCGTTTCTGTCAACAAGTATAAGAGTGAAAGCCTCGCTTGGGATTATCAGCTACTACCGCCCGTGATCCTGACAATAGCGTTTGTGATTGCACGCATACAGGTATGTGGCTATATATCGTGCGGATATATGTCTGAACATGGACTGTTCATGTAGGTGTATATGTGTATGTAAAAAATTGTGTAATATATTCGCTAGTGTGCATGAGTGCGTGTACATTTCCGCTTGTATGATCGTGTTTGTATATACATACACACTGCATACACGCGGGGAATAGAATACGTGTAAGATATATTCAGACACTAAGAGATTGGTTGTGTATTATTTGTATAATTCAAAACGCAGCGAGTCCTATGTATACTGCGTGATTGCTATGTTGTAGTCCTTTACTTCATAATATGAGAGTGTGTTGGTCGTCAGATGATATATATATATATAAATATATATATATATATATATATATATATATGTTGCTGTAGCAGAGAAATGTACTCTCGTGAACTCATACCTATGTGTCTTGCTGTAGTGGAGTAACAGGCTCTCGCGATAGACCGCCTTATGGTACAGTTTGTTCGACTGCAATTGTGCCAACCGTTTAAGGAGCACACGCACCACGTGAACTTCAGTATCACTATGGCCCGTCTCTGTGACATCCGCGTCGATCTCTCTCTTATCCTGCAGAATGGCAGAGAAATTTACCAGTGTGAGTGTAGCTGTTCACTCGCACTACAAAGTTGAGCACGTAAATCTTTGCACGATGTATTTTAGAGATACGTCTTCACAACGTACACATGTGGCTTTTACATGGATATGCAGCGCTGTTAGACAGCAACATGTCGTTGTATATACGCAACGCACAGTGCACGCGGTCGACGATATCGTGAGTGTATGCACCATGCTTGTGAACATATCAGACGCGTGTAAGTATAGATGTGCATTCACGACGACGTCTATGTGCAAACATACAATGATCATACATACATTGCCTAAGTGTGGGCACTGAACAACAAATACATCGGATTCAAATAGAACACAATCCTACTCGAGGTGCAGACACGCGAAATAAAAAGACATATTCATGGGTAGAAAGGAACTGGTACCAATGAAGTACACTTCTCGGTTTATCCATATGATCCATGATTATACGTCACACATCGCGCTGGTCTAAGACACCATGCACACACTCTAAACACACCGAAACCAATACGAAAGATATACTACATCAATTGAAACACACACATGATTTCCCAGCAAACAATGCAGATGTATCTACGTAAACCGAAAACAATACGAAAGATATACTACATCAATTGAAACGCACACATGAATTCCCAACAAACAATGCAGATGTAACTATGTAAACCGAAACGCAACAATCCAACACCAAATGAAAACGTTATAGTACATCAATTGAAATATACACATGAATTCCCAACAAACAATGCAGATGCAACTATGTAAGCCGAAAACGCAACAATCCTGACACTAAATGAAAACGTTATACCACATCAATCGAAACACACGTATGTACAACAATCAATGTCAATACAGTCAAGTAGACATATCCACCGTCTCACTTAAGAGCACTAACTCCAGCAGATGTTTAAAACAAAAAATAATCTACATCAATTGGAACGCACATGAATGTACCCCAATCAATGTCAATACACCCATGTCCAGCAGAAACACGACACTCTGAATACTACAAACGATATCAAAAAATAAATTATATCAATCGTCATTGCAACACACGCATGATGATAACCCAATACATGCCACTATTGCCATGTATACACTTACCGCCTCACTAAGAGTCCCTGCCCTGAACTTGGCAGTGATTCCATCGCCGTAGCCGTATAATATCAGATACAGCAGTATCTCTTCTAAGCGCTCTTCTCTCTGTTCCTGTGGACTTCGGGAGTTGGACGCTCCTTTGTTGACGTGTGTGCTTGTATGTGTAGGCGTGTGTGTGTGTGGGTGTGGCTGTGGGTTTGTGTCAGAGTGAGTGTGTGTATCGTTTTCGTGCGGTGGAGCACCCTCTTCTGAATGCCCCGTAGATTGCACGTTCTCAAGAACTGTCTCGTCACGAAACCCATCGCTCTCAGCTCCCTTTCGAGCATTCTCTGGCAAATCCACAGACCCCGCTGAATTTCCGTGGTTCTGATTGGTCCCTGCACTCGCCAGCCCGTCGTCAGCCAATGGAGCCGCAGAGATATCGGTGGCGGCATGTCGCAACATGAGCACGTGGTCACACACGTGCTTTGGGCCGTATGGTTTGCAAGAAGTAGCACTGCCGACTGTGGCTAGGTACATCTTGGTGAATGTGCTCAGCATTGCGTACGCTGGTTCCCTGCACTGTGGTAGTTTCTCAAGGACTGGGAGTGCGAGATGATGGCAGATTGCGACGGAAACAGATGAGAAGGAGGCCAACATTCGAAGTCAACCCGGAATGATAATAACAAGGACAATAAAATGTACGCATCAATGTCAATGAGAGAGAATATATCGGAAATGCATTTAGATTGATAGGGAGGTAAAAGGCTTCAAGGATGTAGACCCAAGAATGTGGAAGGCGCGAGCACGAGATAGGCATACGGACTCACTGATAGCAATATATCCGCACAAACACATACAGGTACACACCTGCACGCCGCATATATCTACCTATTTAAAGTTCTACATCAACTACCTATTTTCAGTTCTATATCAACTATCTATTCACAATTCTTTATCAACTACCTATTCCTAGTTCTATATCAACTACCTATTCACGGCTCAGCATCGATAAGAATTGTGAATATCAACCGTTCGCCAAGCGCCAAAATACATCGCCTTCCACTAACACAGCAGTTTCACATAATATGTCCACACTTTTGCTTATACACACATAACGTATGCCGCACACACTTTACATTGACGACTACCTCATTTCTTAATCATGGTATCATCACACATATGCCTATCATTATTGACATGACAACAGTATCATCTTACACCCTTGATGTATTCTACATCTCATATGTCGTACACGATTGGCAACACATATGTCGTACAATCGACATCACATGTGTCATACACAATTGACCTCCCATATATTGTACTCAATTCACCTCCCATCTATTGTACTCAACTGACATCCCATATGTCGTACACACTTGACACAGTGCCCACTCCATGTCCGCACCTTTGCTCTCTTTGACCTGCATGAACTCGTCCAGGTAGTATGTCTCGTTATCACCTGGCTGTGGGAAGTCTCGGTGTCGTTTGCGCATGGCCTTAGCACTCAGGAAGCGATTCCACGCTTGCTCGGCGTCGGTGTCCTGGTAGTTATCGCTCAAGTTGTATCTTAAGCGTGTGATACTGTGGAAAGAGCACGCACAACAAATAAGAAGTACATATAAGAATGTATATACACTGCGGTGGTGTTGGTCTTCAACTCGGCACTCACGTTGTGTCGAACGTGTGTGGTATGGTGACGGTGACACAGACACAGTAAATCGGTGCAATCGAGCGTGTGAACTACACAATGGAGATTAAGTCCATTCATATGATACCGTAGAAGTGGGACAGATAGTCGTTCACCATAGCGTGTTGGGGGAGAGTTGGGATTGAAACGTGTGAGAATGCAATGCGGACGCTAAAAAGTGGACAATGTACCATGCCGTTGAATATTCCACACGAGTAAGTATACTCGTACCACTCCACAATCCTGCACATCCGTGCCAGGTGTGCTAGTCCATAATCTTGGCTCTCAATCCGCTGTGCAGAGAGTGACCACACTCGCGTTGCTAATTATATTGACATACACGTACACACAACAGGCACAAACGCACACACTCGCACACGCAGGTAGAAAGTGTCTAAAAGTAACACACAGGCACAACAGTATACGAAAGTAGTAAGTATAACGATTAGGTGTGTAGGTTCATGATTTTGGACCACATTTTGCCCTGTGGTGAATCGTCACATGCGTGTTGCTTTAAAGTACACCTACACTATACACCTACAAACACAACCAAAGCACAAGCACACACACACAAAAGGCACAAAATATACATAAACATGGACAAAAGATAGATATGTGATATGTATACAAGTGTACGTCTATTCATCTTCAAGATCGTCGACTCCCACACTCACTCACTTACACTACATTCATGACGAAACGATATCATATGTACACCGAAACGCGCCAAAAACAAACGAAATACGCGTGCATACATCTACGTATGAAGCTAGTAGATACATGGTCTTAGCACACAACGCGCCATGTAATGAGTCGTCACAAGCGTGTTGCTCAACAGCGCAAATACACCGTTTCAGCAAGCAGACCCCAAGCACGCATACAATGGACCAAGGACAGATACAAAAAGCAACATAGTACCCGGACACAAGTATGCTTGTGTATACCAGGTGTGTAGGTCCATGATCTTGGCACACAATTCGCCCTGTAAGGAGTCACCACAGGCGCGTTGCAGTAGTACGTGTCGGCGGTCGTAGAGAATATATTGCAGACGGCCCAGTTGGCGGCTCACAGCCACGGTATCGGGTATCTCATCCGTGCAGGGTATCTTATCCTGAGGGAACATTGTATTGGATTGGGTTGTATACAGTAGTATGATGGATAATGTACACACATGGCAACCAAAAGCACACACGAACGAGTGGGCCATCTGTGCAGGGTATGTTGACCTGTGAGAACATAGATTCACTTGTAGATTGTGAAGAGTAGTGGATAATAAACACAAATGGCAGCCATAAGCGCACACGAACGCGTGAGCAATCTGTGTAGGGTATGTTGACGTGAGGAAACATTGATTGTAAATAGTAATGATAATGGAAAATACACCCAAACGACAGTCCGCAACTGGCCACCATTTGCGCACGAACAAATGAGCACAGAAAACAGTGGGAACCGAAGGTGGGTATATATTTGAGTCGAGTCGTAATGGAAGGCTTTCAGGGGTGGGTATAGGCCCAGGAGGTGTGGATTGAGAGGGCTTCAAATGGGTCTTAAATGTATTCCGGGAGAAGAATATGCATTGCACTGCATCGAACAACGAGGCAATGCGCCAGGATGTGTTCTGTTGAATGAAAATCTTAATACCAATTCCAAAGGTGTGATCACGGGAAAGTGCAACTCAGTCATGAGACCGCCGATTCAGCATCTAGTACTGGTTCTCGCTGTTCTCATACACACGCGCCAATACAAAAGCATTGTATCGCCCACAACACACAGCAGAATTACAACACAAACCACGAGCCCAGGAAACTTGGCCTGGGCCCTCAGACCTTAGAGGAACTATCAGTGCAATACGCATTATCAACGCATCACAAGAAAGTTAGGATGCATGATAAGAGGATTACAAGGAAATAAGATATCAGACAAGAGGATTTAAAAAGATCCATTCCAGACAACTACCAAAGCTACCAAGTGTCGGGTTTTGGATCTTATCGCATTTTTCACCGCTCTGATATGCACACAACATACCACAGTACATAACAATCGACACTTTAATGTAGAAGTTCAGCTTGCAACATACCACAGTATATAACACTCGACCCTATAGTGTAGAAGATAATCTAGCAACATACCGCAGCATATAACACTCAACACTCGAATGTAAAAGTTCAGCTTACAACATACCACAGTATATAACATTCGACACTTTAATGTAGAAGATAAGCTCATAACATACTACAGCATATACCACTCAACACTCGAAAGTAAAAGTTCAGCTTACAACATACCACAGTATATAACACTCGACACTTTAGTGTAGAAGATAAGCTCATAACATACCACAGAACACAATACTTAGTGTTTTGGTGCAAAAGATAGGCTCACAACATACCAGAGCGGATGAGTCATCACTGCCCAATTGCACGCCGGACTGTTGCGCTATCTCCAGCGCGCGTTCCAGAATCTGTAGCGCTCCCAACGCGACACTCTGCAGCCACACCAGGTCTGCACACGCCCACACGCGTTCTAAAAATAGAATCGCACCCAAAAAAATGGGTTTAGTTTACCGCGGGTAACTTCGAATTGGGATTGACGAGATCTGCACACGCTAACACGCGTCCCAAAGATAGAAATAGAATCGAACCGCAGTAATTGGGTTTGTCTCACGAGGGATTAGATATAAATACACCAGTACCCATGTATACAACCCCGCGGGCGTATGACGTGCTGAACTACTGCCACATACCTCCATAGAAGGCTCGGTAGAGTATGTTGCAACATATAGTACCGAACAGTGCCCACGAGCGGAACGCCTTGGGCGCCAGCTGGATGTCGCGCGACAGATGGCTGAGTATCTTTGTCACCAGACCTGACAATGATATTCCGCAGTGAAACAATCCGTGAGCGAGTTTGGAAAGTAAGTCGTGGAATGGGTATATATTTATACACTGTATATTGGTATATATGTATATACTGTAGGCTTTACACGAACACAACTCCAAGGGCACTCGATGATGAAAGTATTGAGTGTGACAGAGGAGATGTATTGATTTGCAATCACTTGATACCCCACCGTTACCTCCACTATATATCTTGATCTAGTTGAGCCACTCAGAAACTACCCAATCTACGTATATCGTGTGTCATACCTTGAGTAAAGACTTGTGGCCGGGAAACAAGCAAACTCTGTGCCTGGAGATATTCATAGCCACACTCCCCTCTCCATCGTTCCTGCTGCAGCATTTCATTGTCCAATTCGGGGTCGAGCAGTAGACTGGTAAACAATCTATGTATCATAATAAGATTAAGACAGAATGAGGATTTGTAAACTGATCAACAATGTGTGTGAAATACGAAGGTGAGACAAGGTGAGGATTTTTAAATAGTGAACAAGGGGTCAAATCTCAGTATTGAAAGGAGAGTGCGAATAACTCATTTATGTTACATAAAACAGAATGAGAATTTACATATTGTAAACCGGGACCGGAAATGATATCCCACTATGGAAAGGTGCGTGCGAGTAAGCAATTTATGTAACATTAAACAGAATGAGGATTGTGAATTGTAAACAGCGAAGAATATCTCCGTATTGAAAGGGGCTTATGCGAGGATATAAGATTTGGGTCGTCAGGACTAGTGTATCTAAACCGGCATCAACAGCACCCGTCAAATGTTGGTATACAGAGAGGGCCGCGACTGGCTGCCGTGTGCGTGGCACTACCAGTAGCAAACACCACTGCACACCACCCGACACATATTCTCAACCAGCTACACAGCTACCGCAGACACTTAATGAATTACAGCACCACATACAACCGTGCACACCATCAAAGATCCCAACAACTCTCACTACACACATACCTATTCTAGTCTACCATAGATGCTACTAGTAAAACACAATATACACACTTACCAATCATAGAAGTGCCAAAAATGTCTCACGCTGCACTACAGTTTCTAAAGAACTGTCGTAGAATAAAATAAAACACAACATATACCCATACAAACCATTGCACAATACCAAACACGCCTTACGCCACACTTACAATTTCCAAACCAGTGGCAGCCCATTCGTTGCGTCGCTAGTTGTTTCTGCTGAAACTTGAGGTGCAGCAGTGTCCACTCCCTCAGTATTTGCGTCTCCATTGGCCGGTGCACTCTCGTCGATCTCCATGGCAACGGCTGCGAATGAAACGGAGACGATTGATTGAGTATGTCAATGCCAGCAGATAGGAACGGCGAAGACGAAGTGCATATATATCAACTCCACTCATCATAGAGCAGATTTGAGATGTACAGATCAGTGAATGAACGGATGAGGTGTATATACAACGATACGCACATGCGTCGGAGACAAGCATAACGCCGATGAGACTCTTAGTACACATATACGTGAGAGAAATAGTGCATCTAATACAGACTCTGTCCTATAGACATCAAGGATTAATATAAGATAGCGTACCTTCTGGCTCCCCGGGGGTACCATTGGGTTGTGCTGCCACAGGTGGTTTCTTGGTGACTTCTGCGTATTTGACCTGATAAATTGGGCGGTCACCAGTGAAAAATCGCGTTGAGTAAGAGTGCCGTGGGAGTAATAAAGTAAGGAAAAGGAATTATAAGCCATGACTTTGAGCTGTATATTCGTACGATATAAACCTCGATCGGATAAGTGTATACAGTCCACTACAAAACCATGCAAATATAAGACAAACCCCTAAAACCCTAAAACCCTGTATTGAAATATAAAACTGAAAAGCTTTAGCCGATTACCCGAATGACATGTACCTACAGCAAAATAGAGGTAGAGCGAGGGTGAGGGTGTTATAGACATACATTCATGAGGTCCGGGCATTGGTGCCTGAAGAAGTCCAGCATGTTCTTGTTCTCGTGCAGGAGTGGGGCGATTCGGGTGATAATGTCAATCGCCGCCTCTCGCGATACCGTCATCTGAAAGATAGAAATATAAATGGAATATAACATGTGAAATATATGGAACGGAATGCCTCAAGAGGTATACACGTAATCTTGGCAACAGGTTCAAGTCCAAGGTATTTTTCAAGTCAGTTTGCACATATCAAATAGCTCAAAGGGGTCGCAGTGCAAAGAATAGAAGCAAGAGAAAAGATGCTAGTAGCTTATATACACCGCACCAAACATACGGGTTTGTGCTTATTGTGTTCGGTGGGGGCCCATTTCTTATACTCCAGCTTCACACCATAGAGGCAGAATAGCACTTGCAACAGACTCTTCTCATCCTCTGGTGAAACGAATACGTAGAATGCAAAGGGAAAAGTAAGACACTTGCCAAAACACACGGCAACATGTGGTTAGAAGAAGGATATCATTGCAATAGACTCTTGTCCTCCTCTTATGAGTTGAAATCTGTGTACAATGCAAGGGAAATGTGAAGTACTTGCTAAAGCAAACAGGCTCTTCTCATTGTCTGGTCATTTGGATACTTTGTCTGCAAGAAAAAGGTGAGGCACCCGGTAAAGCAAACAGACTCGTCTCATATTCTTACGAATTGAATACTTTATAGAAAGCAAGAGCAAAGTAAGGTACCTGCCAAAGCATGCGGCAGCACGTGGTGAGGACTAGCAAAGCAAGGGTACATAGAGTGTTGGTATTAAATTAGCAAAACATTAAAACTGGTAAATCCAGACCGAGGACGGAAAATCCGACCTGGATAAACAAAGCTGACACGGTTAAAATGTACATTAGAACAGATCGATGGAATTAATATGAATATTAGAA